TCCTAGCTTCTTTCCAAAAACTGAGTTGGCAGTACTTGATAATCAATACTGCTTTGTTGCAAATAACAGAATACTGTTGAAAGAACATAAGTTATTGGCGAGGAATATTTTAGGCAATTTTTACTGTTTCTTATAGCCTGTAATAAGCTTCAGGGTGCATTGTGTTGTTCCCTCAAAAAGAGGGGGGGAACCCCACCCTTGCACACTCCTATAGTATGACTAGCTTTTGACAAGATGCAAAAGTGTTTAACTTTCAACAGTTGATCCTGTTTCTGACAATGCTGCTGAGGTGTGTACCACTGTGAGCATCTTGCTGCATGTGCTTTTCTGTAGTATTTCCTGAATCTAAATAGCTCTTTTCTTTTGGAAATTTCAGGAAGATGTTTGTTGGCGGCCTCAGTTGGGATACAAGCAAAAAAGACTTGAAAGATTACTTCACCAAATTTGGTGAGGTAACCGACTGTACGATAAAGATGGACCCTAACACAGGAAGATCTAGAGGCTTTGGATTTATTCTCTTCAAAGAACCTGGGAGTGTTGAAAAGGTGAATATAAGCTTCATATTTCAGATTCTGAACTTCTAGGGGAAGGAAACTTTTCAGTTTGAGTTAATCCTATCAAACTATCTTTCAGGTTCTGGAACAGAAAGAACACAGGCTAGATGGACGACTAATTGACCCCAAGAAGGCCATGGCAATGAAAAAGGATCCAGTGAAGAAAATATTTGTTGGTGGACTAAACCCAGAAGCCACAGAAGAGAAAATCAGGGAGTACTTCGGAGAGTTTGGAGAGGTGTGTAATGTTATCTTAGTAAACACTGAAAAGTGTAGTCTCCAGTTGCTGTTTAGTTTGTTAATAATTTGCAAGTTGCAAATCAAATTAACTTCAGATGTATCAAGCCTTCCATAAGGGATCCAGAGGCTTGCTCTTGAGAGCAAGGCAGGCACATACTGCACTAGGTGCTTCCATTGCTAGTTAGATACCCTTGTCTTGAACACAATTTTAACATCAGATGAAATAGTTTGAGTTAGAGTTGTAAAATTGAAACATCTGGTCTGAAAGCCAGTGTTAGTATAGAAAGAATATTGCAACTTTGGTCTTGCATAATATGCATAGGTAGGAGACTGACTTTCTCTTTTACTGTTGCAAATGCCATGCACTTAACAGTTCTGCTAAAATATGAGTCTGAAAATAGTATTTCATGTCTTCAGATTGAAGCCATTGAACTTCCAATGGATCCGAAGACCAACAAAAGGAGGGGGTTTGTGTTCATCACTTTCAAGGAAGAGGATCCAGTGAAGAAGGTTTTGGAGAAGAAATTCCATAACGTCAGTGGAAGCAAGGTAGAAACTTTCACTTGTAAATTTTTGTCCAAATTAAGTATAATACCACTACACCTATAATCAGAAAAGGATTTTGTAGACCTCTGATTTCAAGCTACCCAAATTACAATAGGGGCAGCTTGCAGTTTACCACAGGGTGGTCGTTTTTTTTTTTTTTGCCATAAGTTCAGTCGCAGAGGCTAGCAAGGTTCTTTGCCAATACTTGTGGCTTTAATACTTGCAGTGTTCTAGGGGCTTTTGTATGTGAAGCATCTAATTGCATTCATTAAATACACGTGGAAAAACTGGCTTATTTATGTATCGGTCTAGCAATATAAGCCATTTCAACAGATACATACCTATTTTCAGCATAGAGCACTTGCATAAATTCAAGGCTTACGGACACTAACTTTGTGAGCAGCTGGCTGAAACTGGCTCTGTCAGACATGGGGACAGCTTCTGGTGTCTTCTCTCAGAAGCCCCCCTGCTGCAGCCCTCCCAACTACCAAAACCTTGTCACATAAACACAATACAAGGATACAGAGAGTAAATGTATGCTTATGGCAACTTGTACCTGGTCAGCTGGTTATGTGAACTCCTGTAAAAGTGGTGTGAGATGCTCTGAACAGCTGACAGTGCTCATCTGTGGGAATAGCTAATAGAGGCTCATGTTAAGCTAAGGAGGACTGGAGGCAAATGATGTGTGCTGGCTGGAGGTGTCCCTCTTCCCTTGCTCCATGGCCAGCGCTGACCATAAGCTAACTTTAAAGCCCTGTTAGATCTGGTCATACTGTCTGGCGCAGTGACTTAGATTGCACTTAAGTTTAGGACTGGTCTTGACAGCACAGAATAAACTTTTGGCAAACCTTGTAACTATGGCTTGGTTTTGTGTCATAGTGATAATAAAAAGAGCGGGTTACCTTAAAGCTCCTGTGGTGAAGACTTCCAAGTCAGGCTTGCTCAGGTGCTGCTATCACAGGGAGTTCCTTCTTTCACAGCAGCAGTAGCTTTCATCTCAGACTGTGCACAGATTCAGGAACTAGGAAGCTGGCTGACAGCTTGAACTGCAGCTTGCGAACCTGTCTTAGAAATGTTGATTCTGGTTGGTTTTAGCTGTTCTTAGTATTTGATAAGTGATGATTTCAGGTGTTGGTAGGTGTCCTGTACAGTCCAACACAGGTGCTCAGTGTATAGAGTGTACGAAGGCTGCCAGGAAAACTTGTTGTGGTGCATTTCTCGGAGCCTTGTTCGTTCCATGCAGCTCGGGTGAAGTGGTCCATTAGCAACAGCCTTGTCTTGGAGGTTGTGCCAGGATAGAGGGCAGCCTCATGGCTCCTACAGGAGTGATGGCTAGGCTGAGGTGGCCTCAGCACCTCTTCCATGGGGCCGTTGATAGTGGAGAATAGGCAGTATTAAAGTACTCTGAAAGCAGTGGCCTGCTTTGTGGGGCCAATAATGACTTACCTTTCTCTTCCATGGGGTAGTTGGTGGTAGGGAATAGGTGGTATAAAAAAATTCTCTGAAAGCAGTGGCCTGCTTTGAATGGCCAACAATGAGTTATCTTTGCCCAGGTGGCACGATAAATCAGATGCTTCTGGATATGCATTAGTCCTGGTCACATGACTGAGCACAGGCACCTCCTTTGCCTCTAGAGTAACCTCTGGCTTTCCTAGGTGGTTAGGTTGGGTGCTGCTGCTATACGACAGTATACACACTCTTCCTTGTTTTTTATTTTCAGTGCGAGATTAAGGTAGCACAGCCAAAAGAAGTATACCAGCAGCAACAGTTCAGTAGTGGTGGAGGAAGAGGTAGCTATGGAGGAAGAGGCAGAGGTGGAAGAGGCGGTGGTAAGTACTACACGCACTACTTTAGTATGGACACATTCTAAATAAGTTGTGTGTACTAAAATGGGATTTTGTGGATGGTTTTCCCTTCTATAGCTCAAAGTCAAAATTGGAATCAAGGTTATGGCAATTACTGGAACCAGGGTTATGGGAATCAAGGATACGGCTATCAGCAAGGTTATGGTGGCTATGGAGGCTATGATTATTCAGGATATGGGTATTATGGATATGGACCAGGCTATGATTACAGTAAGTAAAGAGAACTGTATTGGGTATAAGCAAGCGTAACTAATTAGCAGTTTAATGCATTTGTTTTCTTGTTCATAGGTCAAGGCAGTGCAAATTATGGGAAGACACCAAGACGTGGTGGTCATCAGAATAACTACAAGCCATATTGATCAAACTTATTCAGGTATGCAGTGGCATGGTCTCTTTTGGAAAATGACTGCATAGGTTTTGTATACAATGCTGTAGACGGATATTTCAGTTCTGTACCAAATTTAACTTTACAATAAATTTCTATGGCCTGTTAAATGTGCATCTTACTTGGAAGAGCTCCCTGGAAATGTTTTACATGTTTAATACTTACAGATAACTAGTTGTCTAGAGAGTGTGGTGTGTAAATTTCAGCCTTGCTGAAGATATTAATTAATGATTTTATTAATAGGTTAAACTGAAACTGATTTTGAGGGTCTGCTTAAAGCTGCAGCTCTGCATCTAGGGACTGCCTCTTGGAGTTAACTATGGACTCTGCATTACTCCAGTTGTACAGAATGAGATGCATCTTAGGGAACCAGTGTCACTTTCCACCTTTTTATTTTGTATTGTTTTTGTGTCATACATTTCCTGTAATGGAAGTGTTAATTTTACTGTACTTTTTGGTACCTTTTTGGAATCTAATGTATTGTAAGGTATTTTACATGTGTTCTGATTCACCATGACATGGATATTGAAGCTATCCTAGCTTTTGAAATAAAAAAGGCGTACTCTAGTGTCTTGTGCCATTCTTCAGCTTATGTATTAGTAAAATGCCAGTATACTGTTCCCAGAAATTAGTTTGTGGCAGTACCTTGATAGATGAAGAGTTGTGATAAAATGTTTTTAATCTTAAAACTAGAAGGCTGTATTGGTAGTTGTGCTCATTTGCAGTTAAGTGGCAGCTAAAAACTGCAGTCACTTCTGCCTGGAGGTTATGGAAGAGAACTTGGGTGGAAAGCCCCAGCTGTTGTGGAGGCTGTGCTGGCATGCTGGTGGCTCTTGTTCTAGACAAGTACAGAGGCTCAGCATAACTGTGTTAGTGTCTGCGTTGTAGGGCTCTGCTAGGAGGAACCAGAGGCATAGGTTTCAGGTAGGGCTTGGGAGTCTAGACAGCATTGCAGGAGGAAGCTAAGAGGTGGGCAAGAAGCTAGCTGCTCTTCCTTCATGTTTCACTGTCTTGAGTCAGACTTTTCTACAAGTTCTTAATAGTATGTACATGTGCCTCGAGAGACAGGTTGGACATTAAATTACCAATGCATAGTCTGAATTCTTACAGCCTTTTTGTGTATCAAAGATGACTAAAGAACTTCCATTAAAGTTGTGGGAGGAAAAGCAACAAAGCTGCCTCTAAAGAGGCAGCTCTTTATCTAGAGATGAGTGACCAGCTAGAAATATGCTCTCCTTTTTTGACTAGTTTACCACTATCTTAAGACAATAACTACCATGTGATTTGCCTGTCTTGCTGCAGAATAGTCCCAATCTCAGGTTTATAAATAAGTAGCATATGCTGCTGCACAAAGTAAAACTTCTAATCTTTGTTGCAGTAATCAATTTGATTTTAACTTTCCTTTTAAAGCTAAAATATGACAACTTTTTTCTTGTAATAAATTCTATTTGAACAAATGGTAACCCAAGTGGAATCAAACCAGGTAACTAAGACAAGACATAAACATGTTACTAGTGACCTTTCCACTTTTTTTTAATGAGGGATGCAGCTATTCCTGCAGGGACTATAATATGCTGCTCCCTGCTGGCTGTCCCTGAGAAGAGAAACTTGCTGTAAAGTTAGAAGTTTCTAAGACTTTTCTGGGGTTAAGTGGAAATCTTGAGTATAAAAAAGATGCAGCAGGTTTTAAATCTGATAGTTGACATGACAGCTTTACAGCTGTAGTATGTAACTAATGTCCAACTTGCAAATTAAAAAATTGCAGACTACTGAAACATGAGTACAGTATTTAAAAGTATTACTGTCTCAAGACTTAAAATTGAAATTGAATGCATCCTTTCACTTGTTTTCTTACAATGTAAGGGGTAGCGGAATATTTTTCTAGCAAACTGTTTGCCCTCCAACAGGGAATTTGCATAGTATCAGGACCATACTGCTGCAGTATTTCTGGCTAGTGTATTAGCAGTAGTTTGTCAGCTGGCTGTTTGGTGGTGCTTTTTGGAAGTAGGTTCTTGGGTAATGCTTCCTTGACACGTTGTGGCCTTAAGCAAAAATTGAGGACACTGGTACTTAAATGCAGAGCTGGCTTTCCCTTTCTTCTTTGCATGAAAAGTTTGTGATACAAAGAACATGTAATTGCCTGGTGAAAGTGAGGGCTTGTATACAAGGTTGTTGCTTATGGCTGTAATGTACTCTTAATTTACTAATCCTACTGGGATATTTCTTGAGGACAAAATGTTTTGTAAGAACTGGTTTGGGAGCCATGGCCCTCAGTTGTCTGTTGCTCATGCATTTGATGTTATGAATTTGGGACTGAAGTTTTTGACTTAATCTGGTCACTGAGACCATTTGTTGGATATAGTGCTACTAGGGACCTTGTTATGAAACTGGTCGGAGGATCCTCAGAAGGACTGTGTGTACTGGCAGCTAGAATGGCGTTTGCATAGGTAGCAGCAGATATAAAAAAAAAAACTGGCTCATCTTAATTTTCAAAGTCATACCCTGAAAGAGTGAATTTAGAAAATGTAGTTTATAGTAGCTACTAGAAATATATTCCTTTATAATCAGTTTTAGATATGCTGTTTTAAATAAAAGTCAATCCACACGTCTGGCAGGGTTAAAACGAGCTCTTGTGAAATTTATTTCTCCTAAAGCTTTTACTAATAACAAAATAACTGAAAATAACAAAATCAAAGGTATTTTATCTGGTCTAAGGCATGCTAGGATGAAGATTAAATGTGCATTATTATAGTAGAATAATGTTTCGTAGTAGTAATCTTGAACATTGTTTGAAACCTATGGAAAGAAAATAATGTTATGTTTTTTGTAAAAGAATCATTAAAAGGAATTACTTCATTGCCTCATTTTTGCTTACATTATATGTAAGTATCATACTAGTACTGTACTTAGTAAGAGGCTTTTTGCATTCTTGGTTTCCTGTAGAAAATAAAGGCATTTCTCTTGCTTAGTTTAGATTGCAGACAAGCACATTAAGTCATTAGGCCTCTAAGTTAAACTGGCACTGTTGAGTAATCTTTCTGTTCTTAAGAATAAGTAGTACAAGCAGCTGTATGTCTTTCCATTAACTTGCTAAATAAAATATTAACACATTTTTCTCATGCCTGCTATACTAATATTGCACTGAACTAAAAGCAAGGGCCATAGCACTGTGAGTCTAGTATGGTGGTTGAGGCTACCAATGATTACATTGATGACAATGATTACATTAGGTGCATTCCTGTCCAGGTACCTAGAGTTTTACTGGGCACTTAGTTAAAAAACACTTGGTTGTCTTTTAGTCAGAGCAGGTTGAAGAAGGACTAAGTGTACCAAAGGGTGTTGATATCAAGGTGTAAGGGTGTGCTGTGCTCATGAGTGTGTGGCAAAATGAGTTGCAGCTGGATGTTGTCTGTAAGCAAGCTATAGAGGGACCTCAACAGAAACTAAAATTTACAAGGCTTGGAAGTCTTAACAGTAGTCAGCCTTACTGATGCCCACAAACTTCTGAGTATAGGGGTAAATTGATGCTTAAGCATGAGATAACAGCTATGAACCTGAAACAATCCTATGAAATAGTAAAAAATGCTCAAGAGAACAGAAGGCAATACTATTTCAAAGTCAGATGTTCAGTAAAAAAGGAGCTACAGTAGTAAAATTACTGTTGATAGCTCTTCATAAAGCTGTTAGCATAAGTGGAGGTTCCCAAATTGTGTTCCTGCCCTTGAGGGCAGTGAAGGGGAGACTACTTGCTGAGAAGTAGTTATGCAGCTGGAACAGCTTCTGTCTGGAGACTTCAGGCACTGAGCAGCTAGCATAAAAGCTGTGTTTTTGTCTTTACATGCATGCCAAGGGTTAAACGCAGTCACTCTTAAAGCATCCCAGACAAACACAGCATGTTTGTGGTACACAAACACACCATGCCTAGTGGTAGGTATTTCTGGGATGGGTTGGACCTAGCTTGCAAACAAATGAATACAGATAGCATTACGAGAAGTGTCAGACTCTGATAGAAGGTAGCTGTGAATGCTGGATGTACACAAGTCTGGTCCATGCTTCTGGATTGCCAGAAATTCCTGCAAACTAATTTCAAGTAAAAGCATGTCTGAGGAAACTTGGTCCTCTACTGCCAGTGACAATGCTTGTGAAGTTACGTTTAGGAACCTTGGCTTTTAAATAGTAAAGGGCGAATATAGATAAATACCTGCTCAGGTAGAACAAGTGGATGTTTTCTATTGCTTCAGACATTCTTCTTCCATATCTGGAGAGAGAATAAGTAATAATTTAGCAAACTTATGACTTTGAGACAAGTTTTTGGACTAACTTGGTTAATGCTGAGTGTGCAGAAGTTGTATAAAAAGCTAAGTGGCAAATGCACACAGATTATGGCTGTCAAGAATGAAATTTGGACAGCTTCCCCTTGTTCAGATGGGTAAACACTTCAACCTCTGCCAAAGCAAAGCTATTTTAAAAGGCATATACATCTGTGGAGTAAATAGTTTTGTTAGAGAACTTTAAAACAGAATAATTTAGAAGTGAAGGATAAACTTGCATTGACCAAGACTCATTTTCCTATGTGCTCATCATCTACCATCTTGGCTCTATTTTAGCACTTAGGAAAAGCAGGCTCAGCATTGACTTCAAGGCAATCCAACAGCAACCCTCTATAAGGCAGTTCGGAGTTGTACTACCTGTTAGTAGTCTGTCAATTGTGTCCACAACAAATTTTGCATCCTCCATATTGAAGCACATTGGAGGCTTGAATTTAAGCACGTTTCTTCCTGGCCCATCTGTACTCAGTAGAATATATTCTTCCTTAAGTCTGGAAAGAGCAATAACAAAGAATTATGTTTACCTTTGCATGTAGTTCAGAAAAACTTAAAAGTGTCAGCCCACAGGCTGTCCAGACAAACCTTTCTGCACTGACTGGTTTCTTTTTCTGCCAGTTGGCTATATTCTAACAACTATTGAGTGGCAAGGTTACTTTTGTA